TTCTCCCCAAGACAAGAACTAACAGACTTAAAAACTCCTTTGTCCCACACGCCATCAGACTGTTTAACTCCTCTCTGGAGGGGAGACGCCCGAGGGCGAGCGTCTGGTGGCCGGCCTTAGTTCATGGGCACAGCCCGAAAAGGGGACATGGGCCCACCACCCGCAGGAGGCGCCGTAGGGGTCGGGTGCATTGTGTGCCGGGCGGCGGCCAGGAGCGGAGGCCTCGGCGGACTGATCCCCGGCTACCAAGACTGGCAATTGGGACGTGGCATGTCACCTCTCTTATTTGTTCTATTTATCCCTTTGTATGCTCTGTATTTACATATGTGTGTATATTTGTGCTCACATTCTGTAACTTCTGTCGGTGCTGTGCTATTGGAGACTGAATTTCCCGGAGGAACCCACCCGCGGGATTAATAAAGTTTGATCTAATCTCTCTAATCTAATGCTTTCAGCTGATGCATGATCATCCACAGGCTTGCAGTCACATGAGGATGCAGAGAGTGTCGCAGTTACAAATGTGTTTGTGATGCAGGTCATTCATGTCTCCTCTACTCTTTATTACTTCACACAGTGAAGAAACCACATTCACAAATTACCACAGAGGCCTGGGATGTACATTTAGACCACGTTTTATCATGTGTGGTTGTGTAGGAGACTCGTGTGGCTGGTGCTAAAATCATGTATACCTGCAAAGTCATGTTGATGCTCCAGTCCTGAAATGTTCAGACCCAAATTCATTCAAGTTAATTTTATCAAAACCTATTTAATTTATTTTGACATCAGTGTAAATTATAGAAAATTCATTCAACAGCAACAACTAAACAAAACAAACACATCATACGATTATAACTTTGCGTACACTAACTAGATTTCAACCAAAGTGAAACAGATTTATATAAACAACTAAAACACTTTGATTATTTTATTAACATTTCTGGAGCTGATAAATTAAGCCTGTGCACAACTCTGCAGCAACTTGAAGCTGCCTCCATGTTAAAGCATCAACCTCAGTCAGCAGCGGAGGCAGCTGAGCTCCGTGCACTTACCAGGCTGTGTGCTCTGCTCGGTCCCAGCCAGCTTCATCTTCTCCAGAAGTTTCTGCGCTGTCTGTTCCTGCTTCACCTGACCCAGAGGTCGGCGCTCCACCGTCACGTCCTGCTCCATCTGGTCCTGCCACGCCACCCTGGGCTCTCCGCCTTCGTCGCAGGTATCGGCCAAGCCCCCGCGGCGGGCTTCCAGTTCAGCTTGGTCTCCATTACAGACCTCGGCCACCTTGTGGTCTGACTGGCCACCTAAAAGGCTCTTTGGTCTCATGGACCCCTTGAGCTTTTGGTGTTGGACTTCTGTGTTCCGATTTCTTTGTTCTGGAACAGCATTTCATCTCCACAGTCTCATCCCCGACTTTGTGTCCAGCCTGCACGTCCTTGTCTTGGTGTGCGTGTGACTTCCTGTTTCATCTCATGTGCAGTGTGTTTCATTTTGCTTCCTGTGTGTTGCTATGCCTGATTTGTCCCTCCTGTGTTCCCACGTGTCTCCACTTTTCCTAATCACTCTCATTTTTATATTTTGTGTCTCTTTGTCTCGGAGCGTCTGTGCAGTTCACCTCCCTCCATGTTCCACGTCCTAGTGTCAGTTCCGTCTTCAAGTGTCTACTTTTGGATCCTCGCTTTAAACACATGACCTGTGCACGCAGATCATGACTCATTGGCAGGCATGAGGACAATGTTCAGGTTTCAGAGTGCAGAGTCCAAAATGCCATTATCAACACATGCTATTTCCATCTTCACAGCACTCTGTCCAAGGGTTAGCATATTCATTTCATTGGCTTTGGACAGAGCCAGACATTCCTATGATCTCCTTCAGCTTTCTGAACAGAGAGAAAGGGGCCAGTCGCTTTTAAAACATTATTCCTTTATTTCCTTTATTTTGTAAGGAGTGCTAACTTTAAGATACATCTCCACTACATTGCTGTGAAACCAGATGAGTTCACCTACAAATGGACCTGACAACTTTGACTATGACAACTGTCACAAAAAGATAACGTCCAACCCAGACTGTAAGACAACAGTAGTGAGAATGCCTGTCTATGGGGTCAGTGATGCTCTGTGAAACCAAAAGAACAAAAAGGTTGAAAAGACGAACAAGCAAACAAATAAAAAGTAATAAATACATCATGGAGTAATTAAAATACAATTCTGTAGCTTTAAGTTTACATTTAAACTTGTGTATTTTTACAGATATCTTTATGTTAAATAAAAAGGTTTCCATGTGTCAAAAGAAAATGACCTAATAATCTGATCATATAATGCTGTAATACAGTTAATCAGGTCAATGGTAACTTTATTGTCCCTGATGGGAAATTGATTCGCAGTATGTCATAA